TGATGAATCACTGACTTCTACCTCTGAAACCAATAATACATTATATGTTAATTGAATTTAAATAAAAATAAATAAATTTTAAAAAAAGAAAAAAATGCAGAGTTCTGAGTAATCAGACTCTAAGAGCAAGGCTTTTGAGAAATTCTATGTTGAAGATGTTGAAGAATAGCACTCATCTATGAAAGGACCTAGGAGTTCAAATTGAAGTTAAGGTAAATATAATAATTTTTCCTAGAGACAAAATAAGTCATTAAGAATGGCTTTATTATATCGCTTAATGCGAGATATTCAGAAAAGGTATTTCAAAGTGGAATAACAATCAAGTATTAAATTGGTTTATCTTTTAACAATAGCATAGTTCTTTTTTTAACATCTCCATTTCTTAGTATTAAAAAAACAAAAAAAAGCTAAAACCTTCAACTGATTTGCCTGACACTGGTAACTCCGTAAGTATTTGCATTGTTTTCTTATTTCAGCAAGACAAGAATAAAGACACAAACAGATAAATACTAATATGCATGCAATAAACTAGTCTACTTAGGATTTTGGTAACTCAGTTTTCATTGGTTTCCCATTGCCTCCCATCTCACACAGGCAAATATAAACAATAATCTTTACTTAATGCTATATACTGAGCTCATTGTAAAATAAACTACATTAACTTCCACAGTATTTGAAAGGAAAAAAATGAAGTGTAATTTTCAAACACTCAATGAAGAAAGATATTAAAAAACATCTTTGTGTAATTCCGCGGGTAGTACGGCACTGTGTGGGCCACTTGGACACCCTCACTCAGAAGACTGTTAACTGCTTAACTGTTAAGTTAAATCACTACCACTTGAAATGGACTGGAATTCTAGAGGCTGCAGCTACCTGCACTGAAAGTATTGAAGGAATTTAGCTATTTGGTGGCAAGAACTCTCATTAATAACCTCTGTTCATAGATGAAGGCCATGGTGTACACTTAAATGAAAAGAAATGGTCCACGTTGACCAAGAGACACAGTGGCAACATCTTCTGGGCATCAAGTTTTTATTCCAGTGGATGTGAAGATCCCAAGGGGAGCCCACTATAGGTCAGTAGTGACACATCGGAATACTGCTGAGAACCATTTCCAGGAGGAAAAATGTCAGGAGTTACGTACAGAAAAGAAAAAGTATTCTTGGTTACAGATAGCCCATGAGAATAAAAAAATAGCCACAATATTGTAGTCTTATTTTGTGTTTGGTAGGCAAATATAATCTAAATAAGCAAAGGACACTGTGCTTGCACCTGTTACCCAGACTATTATCACTTTTGAATGGTCTTATTTCAGTTTACTTGTTTTCTTCAGCATTTGCTGTTTTGTCAAGTATGAATGTAGCTAAACCACTACATATGAAACATTAAGAGCTCATGTTCCCAGACCATCAGGGAACCCAGAGATCTACGTGACCCCAGGGACCCTATAGATGAGCAAACAGAGGTCCTAAGCAATTATATACATTAAATACATTTAAAATTAGTAGATTAAAAGGTTTTTAGAGTACAGAGCTTTCACCTCTTTGGTTAAGTTTATTCCTAGATATTTTATTGTTTTTGGTACAATTGTAAATGGGATTGTTTTCTTAATTTCACTTTCTGCTGCTTCATTACCAGCATATAGGAATTCAACAGATTTCTGTACATTAATTTTATATCCTGAGACTTGCTGAATTATCAGTTCTAGTACTTTTTTTGTTTTTGTTTTTGTTTTTTTGGTAGAGTCTTTAGGGCTTTCTATATATAGTATTATGTCATCTGCAAATATAAAACTATAAAACACTGATGTAAGAAATTCAAGATGACATAAAGAAATGGAAAGACATTCCATGCTCATGAGTTAGAAGAACAAATATTGTTAAAATGTCTATACTACCCAGAGCAATCTATAAATTCAATGCAATCTGTATCAAAATACCAACAGCATTTTTCACAGAGCTAGAACAAGGAATCCTAAAATTTGTATGGAACCAAAAAAGACCTCAAATAGCCAAAGGAATCTTTAAAAAGAAAAACAAAACTAGAGGTATCACAATTCCAGATTTCAAACTCTATTACAAAGCGGTAGTAATTAAAACAGTATGGTATTGATTATAAAAAACAAACACACAAATCAATGGAATAGAACAGAAAAGCCAAAATAAACCCACATTTATATGGTCAGTTAATCTTCAACAAAGGAGGAATGAATATACAATGGGAAAAAGACAGTCTCTTCAACAAACGGTGTTGGGAAAACTGGACAGCTACATGCAAAAGAATGAAACTCGACCACTTTCTTTCACCATACACAAAAATAAACTCAAAATGGATTAGAGACCTAAACGTGAGACCTGAAACCATAAAAATCCTACAAGAGAGTATAGGCAGTAATCTCTCTGACATTGGCCCTAGCAACATTTTTCTAGCTATGTCTCCCGAAGCAAGGGAAATAAAAGCAAAACTAACCTATTGGGACTACATCAAAATAACAAGTTTCTGCACAGTGAAGGAAATAATCAATACAGCTAAAAGGCAACCTGCTGAATGGGAGAAGATATTTGAAAATGACATATCTGATAAAGGGTTAGGATCAAAAAAGAACTGATACAACTCAATACCCAAAAACCAAATAATCCAATTAAAAAATGGGCAGAAGATATGAACAGACATTTCTACAAAGAAGACATAGAGACGGCCAACAGACACATGAAAAGATTTTAAACATCACTCATCATCAGGGAAATGCAAATCAAAACTACAATGAGATATCACTTCACACCTGTCAGAATGGCTAAAACCAAAAACACAGGAAACAACAAGTGTTGGTGAGAATGTGGAGAAAAAGGAACCCTCTTGCACTGTTGGTGGGAATGCAAACTGGTGAAGCCACTGTGGAAAACAGTATGGAGCTTCCTCAAACAATTAAAAGTAAAACTATCCTATAATCAGTAATCATATTATTGCGTATTTACAAAAAAATATATAAAAACACTAATTCAAAGGGATACAGGTATCCCTATATTTATTGCAGCATTATTTACAATAGCTAAACTATGAAAGCAGCCCAAGTGTCCACTTATAGATGAATGGATAAAGATGTGATAGATAGACAGACAGAGAGTGGAATATTATACACCTGTAAAAAAGAATGAGATCTTTCCATTTGCAACATGCATAGAGCAAGAGAATATAAAACTAAGGGAAATCAGTAAGTCAGAGAAAGACAAATACCATATGATCTCACTCATATGTGAAATTTAAGAAACATGAGCAAAGGGAAAGAGAGAGAGAAAGAGAAATCAACAAACAGATTCTTAACTAGAGAGAACAAACTGATGAGTACCAGAGGGGATGTGGATGGGGGATAGGGGAAATATGGGGTGGAGATTAAAGAGTACACTTATCACGATGAATAAAAAATAGAATGATAAAAATATTAGTAGATTATGAGTTCAAGACTCTAGTATAAATATTCTAGTATTCATTCGTATAGTATGCATATGTTATGCTGAATATAAAACATACATAATACCATACCTTACCATACCATATCTGTAAATCGTACAGTAGTAAAAACAAATGCACATAAGTAAGCATTCAATGAATAAGATATTTCCTATAGATTAACACAGAAAACAAATGTTTACACAGATGATTTTCTCATTTGAGAACAATTCCATTCCTCAAAAGTCTAGATTTCAATTCATTTCTATTTGGGCATAAAATAAGACCCTTCTTAACATGTATAGGTTCCTGGTGTTGGAAAGAATGTCAAAAATTATAAAACCTCCTTCTGTATTTGTATTTGAGTTTAGAGAGCAGCAGTACTGCCCCAATGGCACTTCCTTGCCATTTTATTCCCTGGGCTAGTAAAGGATGCTGCAGCTCTCATAAAAAGGAGAACCATATGAGAAAATGAGTGAATCCCCAGTGGCTCGTTCCTCTACTAAGGATCCATTCTATAAAATGAGTCCTGAGAGACATTCCCAGTCTTGGGTTTCACTGGAACCAGGCAGGAAGAAAGTTAGGGAGTAACAGTCCCCACTTGCTTCTCAACCCAGCAAACCTCAACTATCCATTGAAAAGACTGTGCTTTACCTACTTTATAGTCAACCACC